ATTGATGTTTATCTTGAAATAAATTTTGTTGTTACTTGCGTAGGCCATCATAGTTTGCCAACTGAACTTATATGATATATTTTTTCATTGAGTTCTTTTTTTAGCATTTTGATCATAAGTATTTAAAATATGCTTAGCTTTTTCTTATGAGCATTCAGTTAATCAATCTGTATAAAATGTGTCAATATATTAGTGATGTTTGATTACTTGAATTTGCATGATATCATAAATCTCATACAATTAAAAAATGTCCTATAATTAGCTTAAATAGGTAAAAAAGTGTAAAGCATTTGATTAGTTATATTATCAGATATTGTGAACAAACTTAATATGAAGTATGTCTATGATCATATACATTAAAGTTGAATATATTTGCAGGAATTCAGCGTCAACCATTTGATGATTCAATTAGAGGAGTAGATGTTTTAGATTCGACTTATGATAAGAAAGGCAGAGGAAGACCTAAGAAGACTTGGGCTTGTTGTTTAATCTTAATTTATTAGAACTAAATGAATATATGACACTAAATGGGACGCAATGGAGAAAAAGGATTCATGTAGCCGACCTCACGTAGTGGGATTAAGGCTTTGTTGTTGTTGTTGTATATTTACAGAAATTCACAAACAATAGACCTTTGAATAATATGCTCACTATATTGGAGCTGCAATATCTTATCACAATTACTTTGTCAACCTCAAAACAAGCTTCCTCCCTTTTATCACTATGAAATCTTGATCCTTCATACCCAAGGTAATAAAATACCACATTTAAATAAATTCTTAATTTAATAATTCAAAATCAAATCAAATAACCTTGAAATAATATTTTACCTCAAAATGAGTTCAAGCCTTTATGCCTATAACTTAAGAGCTAACTCAAACTGCATAAGGAAAACACCTGAAGTCGGATTTTATCTTTTAATCTCTAGCCTTTTCTTTCTCTTCTCTGATGTCTTATTCTTCCCCTTTGACCAAACCCCTTTTTGCTCTCTATTCAGCCTGCAGCTACAGGTTACAGGAATGAATAAAAATAAATAGAATTGCTTAGGTTATTAGTATTTAAGTTATTATATAAACTTTAAATATTCTGCTAAAAGCCATCCAATTTTCATTAGTTGTTTCATGTGCTGAAAGTGGGAAAAGAGGCATTGATGCATTAACTTTAATATATGAATAGGAAATTTATATAACACGTTGGACAATTTATATAATAAATGTTTTAGTTATATATATATATATATATATATATAATGTCCGCGTATTTCGGCATATTAATTGGCATCCTTGGTGTAAGACCCCCTCAAGTCGGGGGTTCGAATCCCCCTCTGGTGATGTGAGCCTTAAGGAGGGTGGTACTCGAATTGTTAGGCACATTAGGAGTGGCTGGAGTCTATATGCATGCATGCATGCATGCATGCATGCATGTATGTATATCTGTCTGTGTGTGTCTGTGTGTCTCTGTGTGTGTGTGTTATATGAACAATAAGCTGGACTATAACTATCTCAATTTTTTTATATTCTCTCCCCTAAAAATGATACTAAATTGGTTCTTTCTTAATCATTTGACATCCTCTTATAGTTTTGAGGATCTCATTGAAAAGATTCATCATTCTTATCCTTCTTCGTTATCTCTTTTCTCTAGAACTTGATTGTATCTTGATGAAGGCTAGGCAACTAAAATGTGGAAACATATAATTATTTATTTATTTTTTATTTTTATGTGGAAACATATAGTTGAGTTGGGTTGATTGGATCAAGTTAGGGTTTGGGAACCCAAGATAATCTGATTGTAAATGGGATGGTTATGAAGAGGTGAAAGTTATAAATTTGAACACGGTTAATTTTGTTCAGATTATGTACAATTTGGTTAGAGGTTCTCAAGTAGGACATGGTCAGAATAAGAATAGATTGGGTCCTAATTTTAAAAGGAATGGTCGGGGGCTATTATACGAGCCCCAACCATCCCTCATGCGCCTAAGAATTCGAGTACCACACATTACACTTGAGGAAATCGAACCCCAGACCAGAGGGTACTTACAACTGACAAAAATATATATATATTTCAAATTTTGAAAGAATTGCGTGCATTTTATATTTGCGTAAACAATATCTGGTATTGTTTGAGTGAGTTTTTCTCACGACGCGACCCGGGCTTGGAGTTAACCAAGATGGGAACGGACTATTGGCCGGTGGAAAATCAATTCATTCCTACTCTAATTCTATTTCTAAACTAACAATTTAATATTCAAATAATACATGAAAGTCACTAAAGAAAGCAATTAAAATTAACAAGTAGAAATTTATAACTTTCCTTTTGTCGTTCTCGCCTTCTATTCATCTTGTTCAAATGTTTAAAGCCTAAAAAAATATTACAACAACATAATGAGTTATCTAAAGATAACTCATGAGTAATCACACATTTAAACTACAGTAATCTATGGAAAAAAATTTAAGATGCATGCGAGTCTATAAGAAATTTTATAATATGTTGGTTTTTTATAATTTTATAAGAAATTTGATATAAACTAATGCATGCATTAATGAGTTTTTCTAAATGAAACAACCAATCTTCTATAAAGATTTACTTTAGCTTTATTTTATTTTATACTATACGTACACTTGTTTCTGTGAGGATCACTGTCAATAATTCTAACACACTTTTGACAGATATTACTCCGTTGGCTCCCGTCAGAACAGTGGTTAGCGATCTACACATCACAATTATCTAGGGTAGAACTCTTACCGACTCTTGACCGATATTATCCTGCTGGCATAGCGGTTTTAATTTAAAAATCATAATTATCTAGAGAGGTAAGCTCTGGTCTACTCACCTTTGGCCGATATTATTCCATCGGTATTAAGGTTAGTGATCTAACAATCACAATTGTTTGTGGTGGTAGAAAAACTCTATGCGCGTGGGTACACTGATATTCTCTGTCTGTATCATTAGGGAATGAAATTCTTCTCGAAATATGCACATACTAACATTTTTATATAAGCTATTTCATTATTCATAACATACATTATTCTGAGATATTTTTATGCATTTTACTTATATGCATACTTACTATTATTCTGCTGTATAACTATCATCATGCATATCTCTCATATCATGCATATTACTTCATGCATATTATTTTCTATCATGCTTATCATGCATTAATGTTTCCTATCAGATTTATCTTTCATATCATATGTATTATCCATATCATGCATCTCATACACATCTTTCATGCATATCTTTTATATTTTTCTTACATGCATATATTTTCTATATAACAATATGAAGATTCTAGCTAAACTAGAGCATACATAGAGTCAAACATACATTTTGAAATAAACACAATTATTGAAATTTGGAAATCTAATTACTCACCTCATTTGCCACACTAGATTCTTGATCTTCGGTAACTGGCTGGACGTTGTAGTAGTTGTTATATTGAGCTCAATAACTTATAAAACATAATATTAAATTTTAAGATTCAAGTGATTTCCGTAAATTGAATTATTCTTCTTGAATTAGCATAAGGTTATGTTACCTGAAATTTCATTAGAACAGTTCTAAGGTGGAATTCTTGGCTATCTCTACTATCAAACATTCCTTGGAGCCTTGGATGTTCGAATTTAAGGGGATTGTTTTGGAAAATGATAATCATAATATCATCTCCTCGTTACAGTTTTCTAAAATGGCCAAGTTTGGGAAGCAGCCATCGCAAGACATTGGAGTTTCTTTCCTTCTTTACTTTGTTCAATCAAGTTCTTTTTCAACATGTTGATAGAAAAAAGAATATAGTGGCTCATTCCTGTGCCCATGGGGCAATAGATGATAGTTTTTTGTTAGGAATGTGGATAATACACACTTTCTTTTTCCCTTTATAGATTTTGATCGGGCCCATGTTTTGTCTGAACAGGCCCTTTTTGTAATATATTTTTGTACTTTTTTTTTGTTATAGTAGTGCAAATGCATATTTCAAGGAACCCTGCATCGCGGGCTATGACTACCCAGGTGCTGCTTGATTCGCGCTACCGCTACTGTTCGCGCCCTTGCACTGTAGCAACGATTGCAACCTTGGTATAAGGGGCCGAACGAGCTTCCTTCGCCTAGGAAGAAGCGGCAGAGGGAGGGGGGACGGAATCGAAGCTCGCTTGTCGTAATCGATCGATCGAATGGAATGAAAGGCGGGAGAGAGGTCGGTTGGCTACCGTGAATCTGCAGATTAATGTAGGATTAGGGATTAATTAAATTTAATTAATTTAATAAATCTTATAACTTTCAAATTTTATATTTCCCAATTTGATCATAAATGAAATACAATGCTTTATTTCAAATTGCTCTATTTAACACATAAAATTTCATAAAATTGTTTTGAATGAAATATGATGAATCCGAAATTTGAGATATATTTTATTTTGTAAAAAAATTATCAAATTTTATTGCAGTTGAAGCTTAACAATATAAAACAACAGATGATTCATAACCCTTATAGATTGTATGAAGTTCATATCATATACTAAATTGATGCAGGTTTATTAACCAAATGCAGGAACATAGGATTTAGGAGAAAAATGAGAAAACGGGAAGATAAAAGAAATAGACAATGAATACTTATTCCAAATCTCAAGGCAAGATGCTCAATCCTCAAAGCGCAAATATGAAGCTGTGGATCTTCAAGCATCTGTCTGTAGATGGAATTTCATATAATGAAATTGAAAATACCATCTATTTTACATAAACCTGTGAACTACTATTTTCAGCTGTCATAGTGGAGAGAAGGAACTTTAGAAATAGCAGTTCAAATGGAGTTTTGTTTTTTAAAGATTCTCTTTTGCTATGAGTTTGCGCTTTTTTAATTGTTGCATTATGAAATAAACCTGCTTTGCTTATCTTAACTATTTTCCCATTTTTTGTTACCATTTTATTGTATTATGCCCTTGGAATTCTTCATTTGCGATGTACTTAGATTTAGTAACTCTGTTTCGCGTTTTAATTTATGATTGCAGAGATATGATTAGAGCTATAAGGGCCTGCAAAACTGCTGCGGAAGAACGGGCTGTTGTGAGAAAAGAGTGTGCTGCTATCCGTGCTGCAGTTAGTGACAATGACCAAGAATACAGGCATCGTAACCTTGCAAAACTTATGTTCATTCACATGCTTGGTTATCCCACTCATTTTGGGCAAATGGAATGTCTCAAATTGATAGCATCTGCCGGCTTCCCTGAGAAACGAATAGGATATCTTGGTCTTATGTTGCTTCTTGACGAGAGGCAGGAAGTTCTTATGCTGGTCACAAACTCCTTAAAGCAGTATCCTTAACCTTTTGTTATTTATTTGGATTTGTTTTTTTTTTCTTACACATTATCACAAATTTTAGTTAAAATGGTTTGTTTGAAGTTCTTCTTTGGTGGCCTTGATTCATTTATAGAGATCTCAATCATTCAAACCAGTATATCGTTGGTCTTGCTTTATGTGCTTTGGGAAATATTTGTTCTGCTGAAATGGCACGGGATCTTGCTCCAGAAGTTGAGCGATTATTGCAAAGTCGCGACCCAAACATTAAGAAAAAAGTAATTCAGTTTTCTCGCTATTCAATGTAATCCTTGAATTTCTTTTTTCTTTTTCAGTTAGGACCTTCAAAGTGCCAGTTCATTATCTCCTCAATTTATGGTGTGTAGTCACATACTTTTTCAAAATTTATTTTCAGATATCTTAAGCTACATATCTTGATAGAAATTCCTATATTCATAATCTGTTTGGGTTTATGTCTACAAAATTACTTTGGATCTTCTTATGCATCTTAACTCTGTCTCGTTATCTGACAGATTGAAGGGAGTTTATTTATACCATGTACTACTAGCAAACCGTCTGAATTCTTGAGATCCTTTCAGTTTTAGTTTGTTTCTATTATCTATTGACGTTGGGTTAAAGTCAATGCATTTATTCTAAGGGGCGGTAGATGTCCCTCTTTATTCTTGCTGATGAAAGCTGTTATTTTTGTCCAATAAATTGTCTTAGAAGTGAGCCTTTGTCTTCTGTACTTCATGCACATTTCCATCAGCCTCTTGTGCTAATTTTTAGTACAGCCTGCAATGAATAACTTCACTTCCCTGTTTTCCTTTGTTCGAATTTTCTACTTGAATGGAATGGGGAGTGCCAATATATCAATAACTGTTTGGTATAAGGAGTGGTTCTTGAATGCTAATTACCATAAGCGCACACACACATACTTGCTATTATAAGTGCCTTTGAACTTTTCTGACCTTGAAAGGTTTGGTTTTTTCTGATGTGAGAATATCAGAGCTAACTTTAGAAGAGAAAATGATTGGACCTTTTGTTTTTTACTTCAACATCTTTAATTTATTATTTTTATAATATGTGATATGACATCGCTATGGCCAATCAGATTCAAAGTTGGTTTGACTCTACTTTATTTTTGAATGGTACTGTCAAGATGTAGAAGTTGATGCAACACAAGCACTAAAGTATATGTGTATGGATCAGTGACTAAATCACAAACTAGAGAAGTAGAAGTACATCAAGATTTCTAGCATCATTATCATTAAATTCATTAACTTCAAATTAAGTTCATTATTTAAGCTTGGCCGATGCCCTTCTGTGGATTTCTACTATGGTTAGCCCTTACCTTGTTGTTCAAGTGACATGTAATGCAATTGAACATCACTTTCCTTCCATATTTGCTTGGATGGCCAATCAAATGAAGATTTATGAAGATTGCAAGCAATTGGAACCACTGCCTTTCCTTCTTTGCTTTACTAGGATATTATTATTTGTTTTTTCTTGTCTTTGTAAATATATGAGCTAACTCTCTTTAAATCATCGAATGAATGAAAGATTAATTTGCTTGGTTGCAAGTTTGAAGACTTTTTGGTAGCTTCTTTAGAAGAGAACTTTGGTGAGTTCTAATTCTCCCTTTGCATTTGTTTTATTCTTTACCCCTTTCTTCACTCTCGACTAAACCTCAAAACCTGCCTCTATCCCCTTTCCCCCCTATCTCTCTACAACCTTACCTCGCAACAACTGTGACCATCTTGCAATTAGTTGCCTCTTCCAACAATCAAAATCCTAAAACTTGCTGTTTGTTTTTACCCTCCCATACTTATCTAAAGCTGTCCTAACTCCTTCACAGATCTTCCTCCTTCTCTTTCATACTTTCTTAGGTTTACTAAACCCTAAAATCCTTCGACCCTCTCCCAAGTCCACTAAACCCATACAATTGATGGATAAACCCTCACCACAATGCAAAACAACTATTCATTTGTTGCCCCAAGCAACTAGCATCCTTTTGTCTTATCCCTTCATGATCCCCCCGCTCTGTGACACCAGAAGCCTTTCTCCTACAAGTCTAATCATCATGGTTATCCCATTTATTTATCTCCGTCTCAAATATTTCAGGTTGGTTTTACGAATCTTCATTTTTCATTCTTTTTTCGCTAAGTTTTGTTTGAGCTTCCCTTAACAATTCTCATGCCATTTATATCATTGCTATAAATCCATCAGCACTCAAGCACCTAAGGAGGTAGTGGTAGTGTTTATGTTTTTAATTCATTATTTTTTTATTATCTGTCCACTAGTTTAGTTACTATGAGGTTTGTCTTAGCGTTCATGACTTTAATTTTGCCGTTTTCATTTTTCTTCTTTGTAGCATTCTCATGTCATTAATAGATGTTGGCTTGTGATGCTGTACAGGCTGCACTATGTTCCATAAGGATTGTAAGAAAAGTTCCTGATTTGGCAGAAAACTTTATGACTCCTGCTACTGCTTTACTCAAGGAAAAACATCATGGCGTTCTTATTGCTGGAGTTCAGCTATGTACAGATCTTTGTAGAGCTAGCCCAGAGGCCCTTGTATACTTGAGGAAGGTATTTTGCTCAAAACAAATTTCTAATGTTGCCTGTGATGTGTCCTGCAAATTGGTTGTAGGATAACGACAAAATACCATATTATCCATCAGTATTAATGATGCCCTGGAAAGCTGAGGAATGTCATGTGATGTCATCAATCTGTCTTTGATGCTTAGATCACACTTAACTGCAATTTAGTGGTAATAAAATTGTTGTGTGTGATGAGCATATCATTCATGTTTAATTTTATAGAATAATTTATTTTATTTTTTAAAGATTTCTTTGCAGAATGCTTGTTATACTTGTGAACAAATCTTAGCCAATATTTTGTTTGACTTAAGTTACGTATGGCTATGTCATCATCATTAGTTTTTTCATGTTGACTTTCAAATATATAACACAAGTCAAAATAATTATACATGTTGATGACGATGGAAAACATATCTATCTTGTACAAGGCCAATTCAAATTGCATAACATGTGATGAAAATACTCAACCATTTCTTGTTTAGTGAAACATACTATGTTGACATGCTGGAAATAGTTTGAAATGACACTTACATTTCTTGGGTTTCCACATAAAATTTATGAAATTTATCCGCGTGTGACAAGTATGAAATTTTGACCTGTCTAAGTGATGAGAAATTGGACGAGGAGTTAATTCATGTTTTAAATTAAATTAAATTAAATTATAAATAAAGAATCCGCAACATTTATTTGGCCGATAATAACTTTTCAGGTTAATTAACTGATTAAAAGTTGAATGATAGACGAGAAAACGTTTATAGAAGATTTAGTTTGCATCTCGGCCGTCTATTAAATTGTGGATCTTTCAACCAGTTACAAGGTAAATTTAAATATACCACATTAATTAATTTAATTAGTAGCTATTTCATCTGTTAAATTGTATTTGAATATAGAAAATTTAGTTTACATCTTTTGACCTTCTGTTTTCGTCTTGGTTAATTTCAAGCTCATGGCCGGGTTGTGACATGTGGGGATGCTAGAAATCTTAGGATATGGGTTAGACTAATTCTGATATCAAATGATACATGAGTTAACCCAAACAACAATATGAAAACTAATATTATAGTTGGATTCAAATATGAAATTACAACGGACTCACAAAAAATTGATTTAACACAAACCCTAGCTAGGGCTAGATTCAGGGGCAGGTGATGGTGGTGGTGATCGACGAAGATTTGAGCATCCTAAGAGGTAGCAAAGGGTGGTTAGAGAGTGGGATAGTGGGGTGAGAACAGTAGGAGAATGCAGTGGGTTGTGGCGATGTAGGATGGCTGGATAGCGATAGCACAACAAGGCAATGGAGTTGCAAGGCTCCTATCGTGATGTAGGATGATTGAAAAGGCTGGAGGAAGGCGTTGGTATGGTTAAGCTGTGGTAGACAACTCGGCGAGGGGTTTTGGGGGCTGCGACAATGGGGTAAAAGGCTGAGATAAGGTGGAGGGTGCTGGGATGGCTGGAATAGCGATGACAACACTAGGGAGGGCTGGAATTGCAGAAAGGTAGCAAGCGGGTTGTCCTCGAGATCATTGCAATGAGGAGAAGGGTTGGTGGCAAGGGACATCAGATTGGGAGGTGAGAAGAGGTAGTAGACAATTGTAGGAAAACAATAAAGTAGCTGTTTTTCGGTGGTTGCAACAAATACAGAGGTGGCGACAACTGAAGGAGGATTGTGGAGGTAGTGAGAAGGTCGAGAATAATCACCATCTCGGACGAGATACAACTGGGGCATCACTTGCCATCGAATACGACCCTAGAAAGGAAAACATGAACTTCGACGACTATCTCGACAAAAAACACAAAAAAACTCTGCAACAACATAGAAATAACATACTTATAAGACTTGGTAACCAAGGGTGGGGTACCCTCAGTTAGGCGGCAATCTCACAGCAAGGAAGGATTGCCTGACCCGTAAGATCCCCTCAGTTGAATCGGTTCAGGCAGCACTTGCTGCCCTGTTCTTCATCTGCGCGGGAGATCGTAGGAGATGCTCCACGTCAGAGAGGCTAAGGGATAGAAATAGTGTATTATGTCAATATGTATAATAGTTTTGGGTATTTGGCATGCATGGTGTTGATTAACGATCTTAAAATTATCCCTTCTTAATGTAGGCAAATAAATCATACATATAAATATATACATAATTTTGTCACTACCAAAGTGACTTGCCATGCGCCATCATATATATTTCTAACAATATTATCATCAATGGAGGTCCTGGGAATGCAAAGTACTACATTTAATATATAAATCATAAGCCAAATGTTATTTTTGCATTCTATCAAAATTAGACACATTTATTGTGCATATAAATCAAAAGAAGGGAAATAGGGGAACTTGGGATAGTGTATCAATAGGTTTATTTTAAATTTTAGTTGTATGATACAAGATGAAGATATGATCCTAAAAGCATTAATTGCTTCTTTAAATGTCTTACTTATGGATGCCTAATGATTGATAAGACCATCATACATGCATCCATGTATGTATGCTTGATGCTCCAAGTTTCATTTATATATTTATGTATATGTGTGTAATTTTTCTAAAATTAAAGATAGGGCTAAAACTTGAAAAATGTTATGGTTTAGCTTTTTTGTAGTTCTATTCAATTCATTTTTTTATCAGTTATGAAAACTTGAGTCTTTTTTTTGGGATAAATGAGTTTATATTGCAACAATAATAGATTCAAGCTCTTTAAGCGTGTCAAACATGGGTATTTTATAGTGTTTTAATAGTCAACTTATAATTATCAATGACAATACCACTTGTCCGACTGCAGTTATTTTAAATGAGGATAATTATTTTTAGGCTCAAGATGTTAATAATAAGACCATTTTTATATCTAATAAAAATGGGATGGTGCTACTACTCAGAATTCTGAAAATTTTCTTTGATGTGTTGCTTGATAATTTTTATGAAGCTGCATCTATTTCTCCTTGCTTGCATCAAGCTATGCCACTCGAATTCTAGCTTCTAACATTATTGCATCTAAGTGTAAGGATGTGATGATTGAGCCAATTGTTGATGTTGGATCAACTAAGATTGGATTGATTTAATAGCATTTTGTTTTCTTAACCGGATGTTGGTCACTCTTTTAATGTGTAGGAGGCATCTATTTTTGAGTGTTCTTTCAATTTTGAAAATAGTGATCCATCTAACGATGAACTTCTTAATAAAAGATACCAATTTCACTCTCTAAATCCCCAGGAAATCACAAAAAAAGTTTTTTTTTCCTCACAAGTTTATTAATATCATGCTAAATTAAATAATACATTTATTGATTTTTTGCATTTAGATTTGGAGTAGAGCCTTTATGAGTTGAATGGTAAATTGCTATTCATGTCTTTGATTTCTCAGTCATTTACTGTTTCAAAGCTTCATCTAAAGTTTGAAATTAGTTGGTAAGCATGGTTGGTAGGTTGATTCCATGCATTAAATGTGCCTACTGACTTAGAGATCACATTCACATTTTGATGTTGTCTTCTTCATCCTCTATCACTTGTTATGTTACTCGGAGAAGTGCATCAAGTTTTTGAAGCAAGCATGCTTCTTTTCTTTTTTACTTCAGTTGTATTTTATTTCTTTCATATTTATTGACCATATACTTTTATGAAATTCTGTAGCTTTTCTCTTATCTCTTATGGGAATGTGTTTGTTTTGATGTTTGTGCTCGGGCTACATAGGAGGCATTAGTAGTCTGAGTATGAAAGGATTTAACCATTTTATAATTTTCATATTAGCATATGAAATTGAAGTTACTTGCTTTAGAGAAACGTATTCAATTTTTGTCAAATTTAGGCATTACTCGGTAATCCAACAACTAAGTCATAATTATCATTTTTTACCAACTACAATTATTTATCTTAACCCTAATTTTCTTGTGAAGATTTTGATTTTATACTGAAGCTTTTTGTGTTGCTAAGTGTGGGAATTAGAATGGAATAAACTTCCTTATAACGGTCAATCTTTTTAAAGTTTTGATTCTATTTGATAGTGATACTTTTTTAGGGTCCTTAGACGGTGTATTAGGATCAATTCAAGTGTTGATTGTATTGTTGGAATAAAGAAAAGAAGAAATATATTCAGATCGGCTAGGATTCAGGCGAGGGAAGTGGGATGGCTGCTGTCTTGGAGGAAAAAGGGTTGGCAAAAGACAGACATAAGGAGATTCCACCACCTACTTTTATTCAAGATAGTGGCTCGCCGCTTGAAGGAGAAGTTGGCTACACCACTCCCTGGAGCAGAAATCCACAAATCAATATCTAAATTGCAAAAAATCAGAACCAAAGGTATCCAACATGTTCTAAAACAACATACTTATACTAGTACAAGAATTAAAGCCTGATTATAAATTAAAAAAAAAAGGCAAATATGGCCTGCAAGGCTTGCCTTAATTCAATAGGTGGAAAGTCTCCCGCTACAGGTCTCACAGGATAGGAAAGTTCATCCCGTTCGTCCCATCTGGACGGGACACTCCTGTCAGATAAACTTTATGTGTTACTTAGATTTTTACTATCCTAGGTAGAGCATAAGCAATCCATTTATGACTTTAAAATGCCCATTTCATGCAGGGTAGGCATTTAAAGAACAATATAAACTGCTGTTGCTTCCTCATAGTGTATATCAATACATATTTTTGAAAGCATAGTTCAGATCATTTTTTTCTTCAAATGTAATTATAGTTGACGCCATTAAAATTATCATTTGCAATTCTTTTTTTTTTTTTCAATGACGGTTCGGCAATGGTAATTACTGCTTTGTAACGTTAAATAACAACTAAACAATGGCCATGCGATGAGCAATTTTTGTTTCCTTGACTGTGCTACCATGGCCTTGGAAGCATTTTGTTTTTGTGATGATTTCATGCTATTTTGACGCAACGAAGCATCTGCAATTCTTGAATTCTAGGGGTGCTGTTAAACTTGTTGAAATTCATAAACATGATATCCGCATTGATTCCATTGGGACAGCTGTGAATATCGTCTTTACTCCAATTTCTTTTAAAGTTTTAAAACAATCTTTATTAACAAATGCATTAAATTAATTCGCCCATTTTTTCAAATAACAGTTATTTCGTAAGTTTTGGCTTTGTTACTTAACGTGCTTGGTAACAAAAATTTCTGTGGATTTCCTGAAGATATTTGTCTTTGTTTTACATAATATTATTTCTTTGCTCTACCTCATTTATTAATATATCTTGACATTTGTTTTAAAGCTGTTGCTACTTTATTTCCATATTCTATGGGAATATATGTTTTGGGCGCAGTCTTTTGTCATTTTACTGTTCAAGTCTTATTTCCTGTTAGTTTTTTTCTTTCGTTTAATATTACTTTCTACATTTAGAATAATTTTCCACCTTGACCATAGAACTGCACAGAGGGATCAGTCCGGATACTAAAGGATATTTCCAACAGCTCCTATGCGCCTGAGTATGACATTTCTGGAATTACGGACCCATTTTTACACATCAGAGTACTTAAGCTTATGAGAATGTTGGGCCAGGGAGACGTGGATGCAAGTGAATCTATTAATGACATTCTTGCTCAGGTCAGCTTCCAGTCTTTCGTATTCTTGTTTATTTTCTGGAAGGTTTGTTGTGCATACTTGTATGATTTATGAAAATTAATATTGATTTAAAAGATGTAAATTCTTGGACTTCCAATTTAGTTTTTAAGAATAAAATCTGAGAGTTCTATATTTAATGTAAACTTCTACGAAAACATATCTTTAGTGATGAGCATAATGTTTGCATTGGAAATCATGCGGGATCGGAGTTAATCCAAATCATGACGCAAGACACGAATTTATTAATAACCTAAAATGACGATTACACTATTGAATTAAAAGAAAGAAAGACAACACATAATTCAGAACATAAAACAAGGCATTACAAACAAAGACCAAACAAACAATGACACAAGAAGCTCGATGAGCAGGGAGTTTGGAGAGATTGGGCTGGAGCGGCGGCTGCGGTGAAGGCCGGAGCAATTTCGAGCGACTAGGGAGGAGCGGGACAACAAGTCAACGCTCTTTGAGTCGTCGAACTGCAACCGGAAGAAGCAAGAAACGTCGTCGAATACTGGAATCTGGAGTCGGGAAGGCTGACGATCGAAGCTGAGGAGAGTGGCAGCCAAAGCTGAGGAACGGATGCAAGAATGGTGGCCGAAGCTGAGGAGCAGAGGCAGGCGACTAGAGGCGCTGGGGTGACCTGAGGATGGCTGCGGCCTTTTGGGAGGGAGGCGGCAACAGACTAGGCGCTAGAGAGTTGGGCTGCAGCCTGGTGTGAGGGAGGCCGCAGGTGATGCGACGACCTGCATGGAAGCTGTATGGGAGCTATCGACGGTTTGGGAGTGCAGTAGGGCTAGCGGCAATCTATAGAGGGGCTACAGGGGACTGGCGGCCCTCTGGGAGAGGACCAGGAAGTGCGATAGGAGGCTGCAGGCAGACTGGCGATGGGCTAAGAGGTAGCAGGGTGGTTGCAGGAGGAGTGGCGACGCTCTGTAAGAGTATAAGGGAGGCAGGGAAACTGCCGGCTAGATTGCTGGAATGTCGGCGGGTTGCAGGACTGCAGGTAGAAGTCGGAACGATGAAGATAAACACCACCTTGGACGAGGTTATAACTGAAGCACCTTCCACGTCGTCCGATACAACCCTCAAGTAGGAAATACTCAGATAAACTGAATTCAAATTTCAAAATCAAGATCTCTAATTCTAGACACATCAACTCCTATTTATAAAAAATTTAACCTAATTTAGGAAGCATTTAAACTAAGAAAGGAGAATAAAAGTTAAATCAAGATCTTAGATTTTAGGAAAGGTTTAAATTAAGGAAGGAGAATAAAATCATGATTTAGGCTTTTAGGAAAGGGTTTAAATTTGGGAATGGCGTAGAAAGGAAAACAGGAAGAGGAAGAAAGGGAAGAAAAAGGAAGGGAGAAAAAAGGGAAAGGAAAGAAGAGGAAGGAGGGGGTGGTGGGGCCCCCCACCAAGAGGACCAGCCGGTTCAGCTGTGTCGGACCTGCGCCTAGTTGATCCCCCATGAACCCCGCATTGCCATGCATGATAATAAGGGCTATTCACTCGGATAATTTTTACCGTAGGCACTAATCCTCCTACTGTTTCTTGATAAGTTTTTTTGTCAGGCACTAATCTTTTCACAAAATTTGGATTAATTAATACCACGACAAGTTTAAAGCCTTGCTGATCACTCTCCCAATTTCTCTGCAATGTGAAATTTGTGCTTGCTAATCAACGCTTAGCTTTGAATGAATGTTTAATTCATTATTTCTACTAATTTTTCCTTAGAAACACTTAGTAGTGCAATTGTGAGTCAACTTTTACTTTTCGGTGCAGTTTAACTATCACTCTCTCATTTTCTCTGCAATGTGAAAATTGTGTTTGTTAATAAATTCTTAGCTCTGAATGACTGTTTATTTCATTTTTTCTACTAATTCTTCCTTACAAACGTGTAGTAGTGCTGATGTGGGGGCTTGGGCTGAACCAGTTCAACCGGCTCAGCAAGGAGGTGCCGGTCCAGCAGGGAGGCTGGACGGGCCGTCTATGTTATTGGGTGGGGAACTGACGCCCCTGCTTCCCCCTCCTATTCTACCTACTATTGTATACATACTGCTCATCTGCTTTAGTGTTTAGTTCTTTTCTGATTTCAGATTTCTTGCACCGGCATTTTCTTTAGTTAGGGCTGTATTTGAATACAGGCGGTGCTCCGACTGTATCCTGCTCCGAGATGGTGACTATATTAACCTACTTTCACGCACCTTTTCCTCCCCTGCTCGCTGCCTTCAGCGCTCACCCTTCCTTACCTGTTCCCGCCGCCGAATTCCAGTTCTCCTAGAT